TGGCATTCAGACATAACACATTTTTACTGGGCTCTTCCAATTATATAAACAAGTCTTTGGATAATTAATGCGTATTAATACGTGACTTAATATTGACTGTGACAACTTGCAAGGAAGACAATACAGCTTCAATTTCCACTTGATGCCACGCCCAGGGAACAAGACGTATGATTCAGCAACAAGGGCTTGGTCCATGCGAGGTATTCGTACACCAAATGGTTCAGGAAGAGTGACCTTCCTTTGCCATATGCCCTATAGTCTCCTATGTCCTTATACTTAGTTGGTGTGTGGCTATTATAAGTGGTGAGTGAGTGAGATGGATTTCACACCGCTTTGAAAGTATTTCAGTTATATCACTGCGTGTCAGCTTGATGTGGGATGATGGCGTGGAGTGATGTAGGTCTTAGATGTTTACCACTTGAGTCAAACTAACGAGCATGGGGATGGTCCTGGGATTTGAACCCACAATCATACATCTGTTTGTGAGATGTTTAAAGGACGCAACTCTGTAATTGACTGAGCCACCTTTACCCCATATGACCAAGGAGTGAGTGAGTGAGTTGGGTTTAACGCCGCTTTTAACAGTATTCCAGTTATATCGCGGCGTGTCAGCTTCATGTGGGAGGAAAGCCTGAAGTGATGCAGGTCTCAGACATTTACCACTTCGGTGAAACCCACGAGCACGGGTATAGTGCTGACAAACCTAGAAACATAATCGGGGTGAACCGGGATTCGAACTCACAAACATAGGTTTCTGGCGTGCCCAAGGGACGCAATTCTGCACAGCGAATTGGGCGCCTTAGACGACTGGGCTACCTGTGCCCCCCATATGACCAAGGAAGTAGTTCAGTCATATAACTCTATCAAATTCCTACTTATAGAATTTTACCTCATATGATCAAAACTCACATTTGGAGATTGTATACACCACCATGCTTCTTTTAAGGAGTTTGACTTTTGTGAAATACACCAGAAGTCCACAGACCAGTATCTGACAATGCACACTCGATAACACAGATTTAATGACCAAGGATATAATCAAATAAATGATTTATCGTATGAATCTATAAATATCTATGGCCTGAACGTTAAGAACAAGATACAGCCTGACCACCTCTCCCCAGGACCATGATTCATGTCCAGGATCTGCTCTAATATGCAAGATGTATTCTGCACCATAACTACTGTCTTAACAAGGACCAACAGCTCTGGCAATAGATCACTGAGCCCAGGCACGTACACACATTCTCATCACCAGTCTCATGCTGTCAAATTAGTATAAAATATTTCTACAGACCCCTGCTAGTGGCTAATGAATTAAGTCTGCCATGTAGGCACTGAAAAGAACATCCGAAACTACCCAGGCAAGTCTATATTTCTTCAAAGGAAGTGGTTCTCTTGGCTCCTTTCAATTACATACCGTAGAAGCTGTAGTTAGAGACCTTGGCACTTAGAAAATTGACAAATGGGGTTGCTTATTAATATAGTACACAACAGGTTAAATTTGTATTCAAAGATTGAGTGGTCGTGAACAAACTTAGTTCCAACCACGATGAAACTAAAACTTTTTTTCAATAAAAAATTTGAGGAAATGATACAAGCCATTTAGTCCTGCACTATGAATGTGGAACATCTATTTTTAAGTGTGTTTTTTTTACTAAAAGTCTTGGCAAGTCACACTATGAAAACAGCAGAAGAGGAAAGTTTCTTTCGAAATTTTTTAAATTGTATTTTAAAGACATGTTTTCATTGACTAAGTGTCAGTCTATAACCCATTCTGCAATGCTGTATTCTGTACACAAGAAAATATGGACTGTCATGTAAAGTAGAGGGCACTTATGGAGATTACTTACAGATTGCCAAACATTGCTATGAAATGGATGGGGGAGGGGGGTTGAGGTGAGAGGATCTCCCCCCCCCCAAAAAAAAATCTTCCTTACCAGTGTCCCTCTGTGTCAGATCCCCATGGCTTTGATACTTCGTGATTTAATTAGGTTGGTAAGCACCACTACTTATTCACAATCTCTATCTCATTAATATCAGATCTTTCGCTCTTAAACGATACGTCTCTGGGGAAAACCTGGGAACACCTCAACAGGAGGTTGAGTCACGTGACTCAATGAGCCAATGAATACATGGCTGCTTGTACTCGTCAGGACTAATGCCGATTCATAGTGCTAGCCCTCTGAGATACCATGCTGCAGTTTAACATGGACACCCGAAAACTGACTCTTTGTCTTTGTTTTAGCCCCTTAATGCTGAGTGCAGGCAAGGTAACAACAAATCTTTGAAATTTACAAATTACAATGCAATATAGAATATTCTAGATGATTATTATTATATTAGCAGCGTAATTTGCAAATTTACTTGCTGTTTCTTGAACCTTGTGACATAACGGCCAACTTCCTTCTTGTTCTGCAGATGCCTTAGTTGGAATGTTGCAGTCTGTGTGTTTAAGTGCGGTCTTTTCCATGTTTTTGGCAGCGTGCTCTCAGATATATGATTTCTTAGTTTTTAGTATTAACGTTCTCATTGTTTTCTGTTGCCGATTCCTTGTGTATTGTAGTCAAAAGACAGTTTTTTGTCACAGTCTGTCAGTTTTCATTGGTAGGTGTGTGTTTGGGAGGCCTGGATGAAAATAGCAGTTAAACTAGCTCCACTATCAGAAGCTGTGCACCAAGACCAGGTGGGTCATGTTACACCAACAGCATGGATGGTCCTGATAGCCAATTGCTCTGGAATGGGAGGAACTTCAGATGCACTAAATAAAGGCATCAGGTCTCCCCCACGGCTACTTGTGGTTTAGGTCAGCAGAGGTCACTGTGTGAGATATGGGTCAGGAGGTGGGTCAGTTGGTCAGGACTCGGGAACTGTGTTGATGAGTGAGTTGGGGTTAGAACTTAGCATTATTCCAGACATGCACTAAATCATTGAATCAAGACACTGAACACATGTGAATTAATTCAATAAATGAAGAAAATGGACACGTTTAAATAAATTCCCTCCCTCACTCACTCTAAAACTAGCACACATATTTTTAGAAAATGTACTTTTTTTTCCATATATTATACAATTGTATAAAATACTTTTCCAGATATCTCTGTTCAAATGTGTTTGTTTTTTTGTTCCCCGATTAGTGGTATCCAAATGCAAAATGCAGCTTTCCAGATATTCTCAACTCCCTGGGGAGTATACAACCCATGCTGCCTACAGGCGCTAGAAGGTTTGTTACATCCAACTCACAAATCAGATACCCATTCCCTGCTGGATGAATAGAGGCACATTTGGACTAAGTCACTTGCCCAGGTTGACATCACACGTTTTGACACTTGTGTTTGGCCTTAGGATGTATGAAGGTATTGGTGTTTCCACAATCTGGTCAACTACCAACAGATGAAAGGGTTCCTAGGAGCGCACAGGGTGAATGTACTGTACACTAAACTAGGGGTAGTGACAACACTGTAAAGACCTGTAAACATTGTTGGTCAATTGGCTGAATAACAGCCTGGTCACCACATGAACATCTGGCACTTGCAAGCCTAAGGGATTTCGACCGCTCGCCCACTCCTTTGAACCAACTGTGGACAATCGCGAAGAGGCACAATAACAACTTTATTTTGCTTTCTTGATACAATTGATCGTTTAGCAATGTGATTACCTAAACTTAATGACTGCACTGAAGGTCACCTGGTTATTCAGTTATTCAGCTATATTTGTCAACAAAAACTTCCTACATCAAAGGGGGCATGGGTGGCCCAGTTGTCTAAGGCGCCCCGATTCCCTGTGCAGAGTTGCGTCCCTTGGGCACGCCAGAAATCCATGATTGTGGGTTCGAATCCCGGTTTGCCCTGATTATGTTTCCAGGTTTGTCAGCACCTTACCCGTGCTCATGGTATCACTGAAGTGGTAAAGGTCCAAAGCCTGCATCACTTCGGGCTTTCCTCTCACATTAAGCTGACACACCGTGATATAACTGGAATACTGTTAAAAGCGGTGTTAAACCCAACTCACTCATTCACTCATGTACAAAGACGTCTTTAAACTGAAAGTTAGAAAAAAGTAAAGTATATTTTAAAACAATTTGGATGAAAATCTCATAATTTGTGGTGTTTTATATACTACTCAAAAGAAGTCATAGATTACCATGTTATTTCATTTGACTACAGTTCAACTGTCCTGCCATGACAGATTAACTATTAGTCATATGACAAAATCGGGTAATCTTTAATTTCTTTTTGAGTAGCATATATCCCTGTGTTAAAATACTCTCTTGCACAAACCCCGCTAGGAGGTCTACGATGTGAAGGTTATATTAAGGAGTTGGTATTTCTTCATAGTTTGTTTTACAATAACAGACCCTCCATCAATATTACCACCAGTCAATATCTTTGAATATTAATCAATGAGGCATATTGAACCAGTAGATATTTGCTCTGCAGGAATATTTGATCGATCTGAATTGAATATACCTTGTCAATAACTCCATATATTGCCAAGTTACTCACAGAATATTGATTACTGAATATACAAGAGGAAAAACTTGTTCATGATCAATCAATGTAGTCTTGTAACTTACAAAACACGTAGCGACTTGAAATACTATCTCCTTCATTGAACTGTCACAGACAGCATAAATGGCTTTTTTCTGAATGATTAGGCATGGTCAAATACTATCTACTTAAGAAAACTACACACAAATAATAATAATAATAATAATAATAATAGGTTAAATTAGTTCAATCCTTATCTTAATTTTCTTTCTTACACTGATAATAATAAAAATTTAAAATAAATAAATAATAATAATAATAATAATAATAATAATAACCCCTAAGAAGTCATCAAGCAATCACCTCTCCTATTAAATGTAACAAATAGTAATCACACCAAGCCTAACGTGCACAGATAATTATCAATGTAGCAAAACAATGTAATAACACCATATTAGATATTATCCAATCAACAATTATGAATATATTATCCAACCAACTGCATCTTACCTGACTCAGTGATGACCTTGCTGCTGAACTTAGTTTTGTCTCAGACTGAGACACATGTAGGTCAACCCCCAGGTAGAATACTTATAATGGAGAGAATTTCACTTGAGCGCAAATGTCGGAGGCAGTAACGTTGAGAGGATGAACAGCCTCACAGATCAATGACAGGATCCAGCCTTCTATTACGGATATTAATGTTGTGTACGTGCAGGGTTGCAGGCCTAGAATGGCTGAGCCTTATCTTCCCTTTTTTTTGTTCAGTGAATGTTTTTTACAGACTTAATGAATGTACATTTAAACACGTGTCTCTCAGGTCGGTTCTGATGTGGATGATAGAATGTATGATGCAACTAATCACCTTTGGTCCTTTGCTCACAGAATAGAATATTGCTGCCTATTGAGTGTCAGTGTGCTCCTCCAGTTGAGATCATTGAGACATGGAGTTAGATTAGCGGTAATCCCTGCCCACTGCAGATGTGTGACGTTAGCACACAGGTTTAACAATCAGGTGCTGCTTCAACCAGGAACACATGATGAAATACTGGCCAGCTGCCGGCCGGCCTATCCTCACAGGCAGGATACACACTGAATTGAACGTGCTGTTGGGACAGGACACAGGTCCTTACACAAGAGGGTCACCGCCTGGTCCCAGTGGTCAGATGTACACCGGTGGTCAGTCACACTGGACAATTAAGCAGATTCCTAGTTCACACCAGGATCAACGTTGCCGATTCCCTGAGACAGATGGTTATCCAAAGATGCATCCAAATCTATCACTTTGTCACAGGATTGTTGGTCAGTCCATTGATCAAAGGAAGTCTGACAGAAAGAAAAACATGAACATTCGAACAAGGGACGGGTGCACACACGTGTGCATGCTCATGATGTACACACCGAGTTGCAGCCTCTGTCTCTCTGTGTGTGTATCAGGTTTCGTCAGCCAGCAGAGGGCGCTAGCAGTTGTGCGGCTGGCAGCATTCCTCATATAGGAAGATGGGGAGGAACTCGCCAACAGAGCTATTTACGTCTGACACAAGAAATCAATGGAAGAGAGTGTAAAGCAGACAGCTAAGGTCTGACACAAACTCTTTACTACCTTGCACTGAGGGATAAGCTACAATTTGATATGGCTTGCACGTGCTTAGCTGACAACCTGTTAACCACCATACCACAAGCATGAATAAACGTCCCTGAATAAGTCCATCATGAATATCAATTAACTTTAGTTGTCTTGTTAAATTTTATACCATTGTTTTATTTGCCTTTATATGCCTTTATAGGGTGTGTATAGCAAACATTAATACAAAATTACCAAAAATTTGATTCACCACTTATTCAATCAAGTCTAAAATGCTAAGCTAAGTGTGTTTTCCATCACTTAACCAAGAATTTATTATTTCTTAAGGCAAAATGGCCCCTTTTTCCCAACCTGCCCAAATAATAATAAATCATGATAAACTATCAAATAAAAGAAGCATGCATGGTTTAACAAGGAGTGAATGCCCAAGGGCTACCGTTCTGTCACAAAGGGAAATAACTACTTATTGAAATTCTATAACACCAGTCCAACACACTGCATTGTAAGCAGGTTCCAGGTCCAAACAGGATGCATCAGCTGGTGTGATGTGTGTAGACACAGCCAAGCTTTAAGTGTTCCCTGTTTCTCCATCATTCTAACAATGTTGTATACTGTTGAACATGTTTTGACCCCCGACCGCCTCCGTGGTCTTGTGGTAGAGCGTCCGCCCGGAGAGCGGAAGGTCCAGGGTTTCGATCCCGGGCTGCGTCATACAAAAAGACGTTAAAAGATTGTACTTGTTGTTACCCTGTCTGGCGCTCGGGGGCTAAAACAAGGACTGGTCGGCTCGGAGTGAGTATACTGTGTCTGAGTGGGGTATTCATGTTAAACTGCGGCATGGTATCTCAGTGAGCTAGCACTATAAATCGGCATCAGTCCGGACTAGTACAAGCAGCCACACACACACACATACACGTGCATGCACGTCGCTATATAAGTGCAATAATCTTGGACGCGACGTTAAACCCAATTTCACCTCACCTAGAAGGGACCCCCAGTGAGGAGTGGGGATTCCAGGTCAGACTAGGTCACTACCAACCTATGTTTGTTGTTAGAGGTGACTTAATGGATTAAGTGGTGACTTGATTGATGCACGTTATAACATGACCATGTGGATCATTGCTCATTATATCAATCACTGGGCAGTCCAGACTAGATTATATGGCTGCAGTCATGTAGCTTGAATATTGCTGAGTATGGCTCTAAACAACAAACAAAGTTAGGATAGCATCTTCTGGTGAGTTTGCAACTAGAAGACAAACTGACACGATGGAAGGGACATACAGAGCACCATTAAATATTCGTCCTGGCCTTATCTATGTCAAACACTAGCATTCACATTTTATTCATCAATAAAATTGCACAAACTCATTTACCAGACCATTGTGTAATTTCTAAACTGTTGCAACATCAATATATAATGAATTGGATACTACCTTGGACTTCCAACCATAAAAGTTGCATAGTTACAGAAAGATAGCAATATATTATGTGGAAATTGTGCAATACAAATGTATTCTTAATTTAAGTAAAAAAATGAATGAATAATGAATACCATAGTTGAATCATGTGTTTGTTTGTTTGTTGTTTAACGCTACACTCGGCAATATTCCAGCTATATGACGGCGGTTTGTAAATAATGGAGTCTGGACCAGTCAATCCAGTGATTGATATCATGAGCATCGATCTACGCAATTGGGATACGATAACATGCATCAACCAAGTCAGCGAGCCTGACCACCTGATCCTGTTAGTCGCCTCTAACGATAAAGCATAGTCGCCTTTTACGGCAAGCATGGGTTGCTGAAGACCAATTCTACCCCGGATCTTCACGGGTCTGATTCTTGTGTGGGAATTTCATATATGATCATCATTTTAGAATATGGAAATAAGGCCTGCATCAGTTAAATTATATCTGAGCTTCATATATTATAATTATGTGATCATTGTCAGAGCAAAGCTGATGCAATCACTATTAGTCAGTGAAATCATTTGACATTTGAACATTTAATCATTTTAAGACGGCAGAATGGCTTTAATTCCTTTGGCTTTCCAATTTACTCAATAAAAGAGAGTACTTGGTCCATCAGTTTCTACTATCATTTCCAATAATAAATGTTGAATATTGCCTCATGATATATTTTACCGATCATAATTAAAAAATAACAAGTATTTGTCACAGAGTGACGAAATATCCCCCGCCATATATACCATAGTACCAAATATGAAGACAATCCAGCGATTAGTTCTTGAGATATTGTGGCAACACCGTTTTCCAACTCCAAAAACAGATTTGCCTGCTGTGACCTTGAAAATGGGGTCAAGGTCACCAAAACCGACTGGTGTCTGCGGTGTCTGTATATACACCATAGTTCCAAATATGAAGACAATCGAGAGGTTTAGTTCTTGAGATATCGCGGCAACACCGTTTTCCAACTCTAAAAGCAGATTTGCCTGCTGTGACCTTGAAAATGGGATCAAGGTCACCAAAACCGACTGGTGTCTGCGGAGTCTGTATATACACTATAGCTCCAAATATGAAGACAATCCAGTGTTTAGTTCTTGAGATATCGCGGCAACACCGTTTTCCAACTCTAAAAGCAGATTTGCCTGCTGTGACCTTGAAAATGGGGTCAAGGTCACCAAAACCGACTGGTGTCTGCGGTGTCTGTATATACACCATAGTTCCAAATATGAAGACGATCCAGTGTTTAGTTCTTGAGATATCGCTGCAACACCGTTTTCCAACTCTAAAAGCAGATTTGTCTGCTGTGACCTTGAAAATGGGATCAAGGTCACCAAAACCGACTGGTGTCTGCGGAGTCTGTATATACACCATAGTTCCAAATATGAAGACAATCCAGTGTTTAGTTCTTGAGATATCGCGGCAACAAACAGGTGGGACGTACGGACGGACGTACGGACGGACGTACGGACGGTCGTGAATACTATATCCCCCGCTTCGCGCTTTCGCGCGGCGGGGGATAATTAGGAAAAAATATGCTCACCCTCCATGCAACAAAACAATTTGTGCATGCACCACTAAAAATACCATCATTGACCTAACAAGGTACCTGGCATCGAGGAAATTGACAAAGGAGGGCAGTTATAAAAAAACATACACAATGAATTAAACCTTTTTAAGAGATGAAGTAGTGAAGAGCTTAGTCCAAATGTTGATGAAACAAAAACCTTTTTGACAACAATTATGAGGGAAAACTATACCCCTTCTGCACTGCCGTTTTCTGATAAAAAAAAATCTATTATGTACACAAGAAAATATGGACTGTCATGTAAACTTTCTAGGGGGTGCTTATAAAAAATTGATTATGATTGGTCTACAAGTTGCTGAGGGGGACTTTTTAACAGCGAATATTGTAGCACAATGGATTTCATTGATTTATGGAAAACTATAAATGTTTTACATTAAATATTTCTATATATAATAAGATCTGTAATTAATATATTATATTATGCATTCAATATTAATTAAAAGAGCAGTACCTATTTGCTTCACAACAGCTTGTACATGCATTTTGAGCAAAATGACTATTGATAAATATTGAGCACAGGGTTTAACCCGAAGCAAAACATTGTGTCCTTTATGCTGTTTGTTTGTTTGTTTGTTTGTTGTTTTTATGACTCACTCAGCAATATTCCAGCTATATGACGGCGGTCTGTAAATAATCGAGTCTGGACCATATAATCAAGTGATTGATATCATGAGCATCAACCCACTCAATTGGGATAAGATGACATGCATCATCCAGAAGCGCCAAACAGGATTGGATGATCAGGCTCGCTGACTTGGTTGATGCCATTGTGTAAATCGAAGGTCATGATGTCAATCACTGGACTGCCTGGTCCAGACTCGATTATTTACAGAGCCCGCAGTCTTAGGTTCGACCACTTTGTGGCTCCATCATTTAATTGTGGGATGGTTAGTTTGGAGAAGGGCCAGGAACTTTTAAAAGGAGCAAGCCCTGCTGGCTGCTTACAAATTTGTTGTTAAATCTAACCCTGTACCCAGCCTTGATTTTTATTAACATTTTACCAACTGATCGAACATCAAGATGAGGAAAAGGAAATGGGTAAGGGAGGACTTGCCATAGCCAGTTATAATGGACGTGAAGATTTCCTTTGCAAACAAAAAGATTTTTGAGGGCTTTCTTTCTGGCTGTTAGTTAGTTTTTTAATGTTGAATGTCACACAAACTCTATCGTAATCTATGGGACTGGCTGTCATGTTGTTGGTATCGCCAACCCAACATTGAGACTGGTTTGTAACTTGCATTTTGATTGGTCCGTTAGACTGAGAAGTGTAGCAAATGAATATGGCTAATGTAAATCAAGGGCGGGTAATTTGAGATAGGAGAGCCACAGGAGTGGGTCCATGGGTTAGCCTAGGTTTACCGAAATGCGAGCTCTCGAGATATAGAAGATTGGTAAATACGTGGACCAGTAGTAGTCATCTCTGTAGCACTGGATCACCAAACATGTTTCACGACATGACAACTGATATATCACTGCTTAGTAGAAAAGATGTATAAATAGATGGTGGCGATAATTTGTAGGACGTTACCGAAGGCAAAGGCTGCACTGATTAACCATCTGTAGGTGTTTCAGTAACATTTACCGTTCACATGGCACATACCATGTATGTGTCCAGTTTAAGATTGGGCCGGCTTGGTCAGCACACCTAGTGGGTTAGTGAAGGGAAGACAAATTGAAGCAGACTACTCATTACTTACTTTCCTGGGGACTCCGGGTTAGACTAGGTCCCAGCAACCTACCGTATTCGACGTAATAAATTAGAAATAGGCGCCTCTTATTAGAATATTATTTTTGTGAAAGAGT